GCTCCGCAGCCCGGAGCCAGGGCGGTTCCGGGACGGTTCCGGGAGCCGGGACTCGGCCGCCCCGCGCTCCGTGTTCACTCCGATAAGATCAGATTTTAAGAAGCCCCCAGGCGCTGAACCCTAGCAATCTGTCTGCAAGCCGCAGGCGAATTGCAGCCTGAAATTACCTGTTCTATGGCTGAATGAGCTGCGGTCAGTCAAAAACAGGTATGGTGACGTCAGTTTACCAACATGGTGGCTGCTGGCCTCCTCTGTGGTCTGACCGGTGTGGAGAACCGAGATGGACCGCTTCCTTCCCCGTCTCGAACCCAGAATTCAGCCCTGAGTGCGGTGCTTGCGCGTCTGGCAGAAACTGCAGCGCTGTAACCCTGCGTCTCTATCCCAGCGCGCCTTGCAGACTCTAGCCGCGGGGCGATTTGCTGAATAAGCAGTGTTACCCTCCGTGCGACAAACCTCTCGCGTTTGAGTCCCCGTAGCCGATCCTCATGCGATGGAAATCCTTCCTCCAGGTTCCGGCGCACCCCACTATTGCTGGAAATTCCTAACAAGATATCCTTTAGCCGTCCTGACTTGTCATACTCCCACACAGTGAAGCAGCACACGGGGGTAATGCACTCCCCTCGCCGCCATCTTCCCTCCTCCCCAAGAGCCCTTTCTTTGGGGACAGTTTAAAAGGATCTACTGCAGGCCAGATGTTCTTCGCGGCGGTTTCCTGCTTCAACAGTGCTTGGACGGAACCCGGCGCTCGACCCCCACCCCGGCCGCCGCTCAGAGCCAGCAGCCCTTCGCCACCTCTTCACAGCGCCCTCGGACCGCCCCAGGCCTCCGCTGCCGCTCCAGCGCCGCGCCTCTCCTCAGCCGCCCGCCATGGCTACCACGTCCCCCTCGCAGGTGCGCCAGAACTACCACCAGGACACGGAGGCCGCCATCAACCGCCAGATCAACCTGGAGCTCTACGCCTCCTGTGTCTACCTGTCCATGTCTTACTACTTTGACCGTGATGATGTGGCTTTGAAGAACTTTGCTAAATATTTTCTTCACCAATCTCATGAGGAGAGGGAACATGCTGAGAAATTGATGAAGCTGCAGAACCAACCAGGTGGCCGAATCTTCCTTCAGGATATCAAGAAACCAGACCGTGATGACTGGGAGAGTGGGCTCAATGCAATGGAATGTGCTTTGCACTTGGAGAAAAGTGTGAACCAGTCACTTCTGGAACTGCACAAACTGGCCACTGACAAAAATGACCCCCACTTGTGTGACTTCATTGAGACTCATTACCTGAATGAGCAGGTGAAATCCATCAAAGAATTGGGTGACCATGTAACCAACTTGGGCAAGATGGGAGCCCCAGAATCGGGCATGGCAGAGTATCTCTTTGACAAGCACACCCTGGGAGACAGTGATAATGAGAGCTAAACCTCAGCCTGACTTTCCCATAGCCGTGCAAGTGACTTCCCTGGTCACCAAGGCAGTGCATGCATATTGGGGTTACCTTTACCTTTTCTATAAGTTGTACCAAAACATCCACTTATGTTCTTTATTTTTTTATTTTTTTATTTTTTTTCTCAACACAGTTCAATTTATTAGGTCATAAAGAAATGATACATTGATTTGAAAATGCATGTTTTTCAATCTCCTTTCATAATTCTAAGTTCTAAATCCTATATGTAGTACTTTTATGTGAATCTTCTTTGCCTATTAACAGGAAGGCAGAATACTCCTGTTGAAGAAATTATCAATAACTTATAGCTGAACATAATTAAGTACCCACTGACAATCTTTTCTTAATTTTGTATATTGATGTTCAACAGTCAGCATCTACTCTGGTACTTACACTGTGGAAATCTTAACTGACTCATTTACTTGTTGAAGAGAGAAACCTTTAGAAACACTCCATGTCCTCTCTGGTCTGGGGAAGAGCCCCTGAATGGATCAGTCTCACAATGGCCTCTGTTCAGTATGTTGTGTGTCCCAGAGCAGGGAGCAGTTTCAAAGGAAGCACCCAAGGGTGTCTAAACCCCTCAGGTCAGGTCTTCAATCTGTCACTTTTATTACTTTGTAATTAATATTTTCCATACCAGAACTACCTATACCAGCAACCTAAGTAAAACTGGGGTAGAAATGTAGCTCAGTGGTAGAACACTTGCCTAGAATGTGCAAGGCTCTGAGTTTAATCTTCATTACTGTAAAAAATAAAAGAAAATAAAGAGTGTTCTCTTTTGTTTTAGTCTGCTGAGATTATTGCCACATCTGATCTCTACCAAAAGCGTTCATGGCTAATAGTTCATATAAATGATATACTTTTCCCAAGGCTATACATACAAGATTAGTGTAAAATATAATAAAAATATGTTTTAACCAGTCACCACCAATATGGAAATTTTCCTTAAATTTATGATTATACAAGAATGGATTAATAATAATAATAATTTTAAAAAGGCTCTTTTGAAAAACTGAGCAGATATCTGTGTCCCAAGAACTGATGGATCCTAAAGCCTTATTTGATAGAAGGATGACAACCTGCACAAGCCCCACCTGCCTCTTATGTTGGTGGGGACTCCAGTTTAAGAAGGGACAATTTGTCTTCAGTATCTATTACTGAGAAATCCTCATACTTGCAGGAAGTGGAAAAATAAAATATTCACTTTCCAAATTGGATTAGGGTTCTAATCTTAAAGGACAGGGCAAGCTCATTGTGTAGAACCCCTCTACCTACCTCCCTACCACTACCAAAAAAAAGCTAAGAATACTTCCTGATTTTTAAAAAGGGGTGAAGTAAAGGGGAAAATGGACTATTTTTCTAAAAATTCCATGGTGCTATTTTAGCTTCCAGCTTCATTATTCTAACACTGCTTTTTAAAGCTAAGGGCAACTTGAGCATAATTTCAAGAAGATCCAATTCATGAAAATAAATAGGAATTTTGTACACATTATGAATTTCAGGGAAATTCCAGAGTAAATGCATTTACAGAGTATTGACAGAATTTTCACAGGGGCAAGTCCAGGAAAATCATAATTTTAATTTGAAATATTACATCAAAGATTTACCATCCATCAAATTAGTAGTGGAAGTCACTTAACATCTTTTTTGGAAAGGGCACTAGGCAATGTCCAATTTGAAGTTAAGTATCTCCCCTAAAACACAAATCTGTTAAAAAGTTACTGTGGGACCAATAACACAACTGTATTAGCATTATGAAAAACAGTATTAACTGCCTTCAAGCCACATTTATAAGAGTTTGACTTAAGTTACAGCCCAAGACCCAACATGTTAGGCCTACTTATATTTTCTAAATTTTAACTATAAAAATTTTGGTACAGTCAGGTATGATAAAGAATGTAAGTATTAAAAAAAGATCTAGAAAGCATAGGAACAAGAACAAAACCAAAGCAAAGATTCATTGGTTCATTACAAGAAGCCCAGAGGAGTAAATGAAACCAAATCTTACTTGTATGAAGTCTAGTGCTTTACTTACAATGGGCAACCACTTTTTCCTCCTAAAACCACTCACTCACCAAATTCTTTTAGAGCAGCATGCATTACTTTTTTTTTTTTTTTAAACAAAGGACTACATCTGCTTGAACTAATCTGATGAAAAACATAATCCATTTTACTCCCATTGGCCTTTGACCAACCACTGCAACTAATTATGCTGGCTATTTTGGGTTTTCACAACATGGAATTTTAAAGAACACACTGAACTCTACAACTTTTTGCAAGACTGGGCAATTTCAACACATTTTGGTGCTAAGATGTTGGCACCACACTTTCAACAGAGACTACATAAATTTCCTTAACATGGTAAATTAAGAACTTTGGATTTAGAGATATATATGAAGTGATCCAATAGAAATAGATACACGTACTGTTAACCTGAATGGACTACTATTGTATCACTGCTTCTGCTGTAAAAGCACTTTTAATCACTACTGGTCAGTAACAACAGCTTTTTATACCTGTACATCTTTGGTATTTAAAATCTTACTCAGAAAACTGTGATGTGTGCTAACTGGCAGCTCATATGAACTACAGGCATGAAATGCACAGGTTGCTTTCTTCGAGTTTAAAGGGAACAAGCATATAAATATCATTTAGGGTTGCTTTCCCATGGTTTGGGTTGGATATTTTTACGGAACCTGGAAGATGAGGCTAGCAGGATGTTTGGGAAGAGGCAGAGCTTTGTTTCACCCTCCTGGTTTGGTGATACTGACAGGATTTCAAGGAAAAGGGAAACTGCTAGAGAGTAGTTAAGGAGAGTAGAATCCACCCCCCCCCCACCCCAGGTCTTGGTTCTGTGCCTGAGCAGGAGTCTCAAAGAAGCAGAAGGCTGAAGCATTACTGAAGAAAGCTATGTGCAGGGCAGAGGATAAAGGAACTCTTCCTAGGGTAAACTGAAAAGGACCCAAATTCACTTTAACTTGCTTAACTACAGCTTACCCAGATTCATCTAGTCTTATGTTAAAGTAAAAATGCTGTGATAATCTATCAGCCTCTATTCTGCAGCCACTTAACCTTCATCTTTACCACCTCAAAATTCTGTTTCCTCTCTGAAAATGGGACCAGGAAACTTCCTTTCCTGATTACTGACCCAATATCAAAACACAAAATTTATTTTCACAGACATTATGTATCATTTTTCAAAATGGCAAAAATATTACCTCCATTCATAATGTATTTTAGAAAACTGCTCAAGATTTGGGATGACATGCTTTAAATATGGTTCCTACAGCTCTTAATTCTCAGTAAAACCCAGGCTGGCATCCTTTCACATAGAGCAGCAACTCTGGAAGGGAGCAAGACCATAGACATCCTGGTGACAGGTGATTGGGAAGAAGTCCCAGGGTTCTAATTCAATTCCCTACCTAATCACTAACTGATTCTTGAGCTCTGGACTCTTAAACTTTCATCACTGCAATAACAGCCTGAAATGATGTTTAAGGTCTCCTTAAGCTTTAAGCTGCTCATGAACTAATCACATGAGTTCTAACTACAAATTACATAAAGAAATTACAGAGGATTTATCAAAGTCTATGTTTGTCCCAGATTAAGTTTGTTATTATTGTGCTGTTATGAAGCAAACCTGTTGCTTCACATGGAATACCCTATTTCTGAATATGCACTAGAAATACAGTTAGTAGACTGGCTAAATTTTCATTTTTTTGAAAAGTAAACAATAGTATACCTCCTATGATGGGAAGTTCTCCAGTTTCACCTTTTGACTTTGTAAGTACACACAAAATGCCACCTGGCAGAATGGGGCCATATGACTGAACGCTAAGGAGCTCTGGCTTGCTGCTAGTACTTTTACATCCTGGTTGAATGATGCTTTAGTTTACTGGCAAGCTTCACTTTAAAGCCACTTCCAAGCCATATTGGGGGGGGGGGGCTGTAAAGTACCTTCACTGTACTGTACCCAAACTACTAAATGTATACAGCCAGTAGAGGTTTGTCTATCACCAGCCGATGTATTAACACCAACTTCATATGGCTTAAGCTCACCACAGCATGCAAGTTAAAAGCAATGGGATTCAGCATATATCGTAATTAGCTACGTCTACTATAAAACTAAAAAAAGGAAAATGAAAGAACCTTTGACATAACACCTGGTGGAAGAGGAAAACCTCCATCTCCCACTACAGGGTAATGTTGCAGTTTTCAGAGTTTCAAAGATTTGCCATTTCTCCCAGAAAAACAGCCAACTGGGAGGGATTATGACATGATGCACTCACCTCTACGATCTTTGCCCTCTTCTCACGGATAGCTTCATCCGCAGGCTCCCGGTTCTCCACTCCAATGGGAGGCACAAAGTCCACCTCCGGCAACCCTCTGAAAGGATCCTTGTCACGCAGCTGGTCCTGGGCTACCTTCTCCTTCTCCAGCAGGATGTCTCTTTGGATCTCCTCTGGCAGCTTCTGCAGGGTCTCTTTGGCTTCCCTGAGAGCCCGCTCGTGGTTTTCGCGGATCCTGGCCAAGTTGTCCTCCAGGGCGGCCGCGGGATTCCCGGGCGCGCCCTCCTCCCGGAGCCGGGGTAGCCCCTCCGCTGAGTCCTCGGCGCGCGCCCCGGGCCCAGGCTTGTGGTCGGCGGCCGGCTGCAAGGCGGGGCTGGAGTGGAACAGGACTCCACTGAGCAGCTTGGAGGAGTCGGGAAGGAAGAATATTGCCCCGAAGCAGAGAGTGATGAAGGCGCTGAACACCAGAAGCAGCACGAACTTCTCCGTCAGGCGGAAGGCGGAGGGGCCGGACCCCTTCCTGCTGCCGCCGCCGCCGAGCCCCCCACCCAGACCGCCGCCCAGACCGCCGCCCGCGGGACTGCTGAAGAGCGGCAACAGGCCCCCCACGGGCATCGCTGCCGCCGCCGCGGCCGCCGGGCGGCCGTCTGTCCAGTGGCCCGGCGCCGAGCGGGTCAGCAGCCAAACTTCGCCGCTGCCGGGCGTCAGCGGCTGCGGGGCTGGGTCCTGCGCATCCAGGCCGCCCGAACCGCTCCGCTGGGCTGCAGGTCTCCCCAGGGGAAACAACTCTCCTCCGAATCTTCTCCCCGGGGCGGCTCCCTTTGCAAACAAGCACGCGTGACACACCGCTGGCTGCAGCGCCTGGGGCAGAGAAGCTGGAGGACACCCCCTGGAGGGGGCAGAGCACCTCTGTCAGGAAAAGCGCAGCGTGGGTGGGGGGCTCCTCAACTTCGCCCGCTCTCCATCTCCGAGCCGAGATCGGCTGCCTCTTCCAAGAGGCGACTGAGCGTGCAGCCCAGGCTGCCCTGCAGTCCCCGCCGCGACTCAGGTGGGCGAGTGCACCCACCCACGGGTAAGTCAGAGCGGTCAGGGCAGCACGATGCCCTCCACCACGGCCCCGCGAGCACTCCACTTATGTTCTTTAATTTGTACCATTCCTTCAAATAAAGAAATTTGGTACCCCCCCCCCAAAAAAAATAAAAAAATAAAAGGATCTACTGCAGAAGAAGAAAGAATAATATCTAAACTGTAAGAAAACCCAGAGACTTTCCTATTTATTTCGATGGAAGCATCCTGTGCCCTATTTATTTTTTTTTTTTTTATTTTATTTTTTTTTATTGTTGGTTGTTCAAAACATTACATAGTTCTTGATATATCATCTTTCACACTTTGCTTCAAGTGAGTTATGAACTCCCATTTTTAGCCCATATACAGATTGCAGAATCACATCAATTACACATCCATTGATTTACATATTGCCATACTTGTGACTGTCATGTTCTGCTACCTTTCCTATCCTCTACTATCCCCCCTCCCCTCCCCTCCCCACCCTTCTTCTCTCTCTACCCCCCCTATTGACCTTCATTTCTCCCCCTTGTATTATTTTTCCCTTTCCCCTCATTTCCTCTTGTATGTTCTTTTGTATAACCCTGAGGGTCTCCTTCCATTTCCATGCAATTTCCCTTTTCTCTCCCTTTCCCTCCCACCTCTCATCTCTGTTTAATGTTAATCTTCTTCTCATGCTCTTCGTCCCTACTCTGTTCTTAGTTACTCTCCTTATATCAAAGGAGACATTTGGCATTTGCTTTTTAGGGATTGGCTAGCTTCACTTAGCATAATCTGCTCTAGTGCCATCCATTTCCCTGCAAATTCTATGATTTTGTCATTTTTTAATGCAGAGTAATACTCCATTGTGTATAAATGCCACATTTTTTTAATCCATTCGTCTATTGAAGGGCATCTGGGTTGGTTCCAAAGTCTTGCTATTGTGAATTGAGCTGCTATGAACATCGATGTAGCAGTGTCCCTGTAGCATGCTCTTTTTAGGTCTTTAGGGAATAGACCAAGAAGGGGAATAGCTGGGTCAAATGGTGGCTCCATTCCCAGCTTTCCAAGAAATCTCCCTACTGCTTTCCAAATTGGCTGCACCAATTTGCAGTCCCACCAGCAATGTACAAGTGTACCCTTTTCCCCACATCCTCGCCAGCACTTGTTGTTGTTTGACTTCATGATGGCTGCCAATCTTACTGGAGTGAGATGGTATCTTAGGGTGGTTTTGATTTGCATTTCTCTGACTGCTAGAGATGGTGAGCATTTTTTCATGTACTTGTTGATTGATTGTATGTCCTCCTCTGAGAAGTGTCTGTTCAGGTCCTTGGCCCATTTGTTGATTGGGTTGTTAGTTATCTTATTGTCTAATTTTTGGAGTTCTTTGTATACTCTGGATATTAGGGCTCTGTCTGAAGTGTGAGGAGTAAAGATTTGTTCCCAGGATGTAGGCTCTCTATTTACCTCTCTTATTGTTTCTTTAGCTGAGAAAAAACTTTTTAGTTTGAGTAAGTCCCATTTGTTGATTCTAGTTATTAACTTTTGTGCTATGGGTGTCCTATTGAGGAATTTGGAGCCCGACCCCACAGTATGTAGATCGTAGCCAACTTTTTCTTCTATCAGACGGCGTGTCTCTGATTTGATATCAAGCTCCTTGATCCATTTTGAATTAACTTTTGTGCATGGCGAGAGAAAGGGATTCAGTTTCATTTTGTTGCATATGGATTTCCAGTTTTCCCAGCACCATTTGTTGAAGATGCTATCCTTCCTCCATTGCATGCTTTTAGCCCCTTTATCAAATATAAGATAGTTGTAGTTTTGTGGATTGGTTTCTGTGTCCTCTATTCTGTACCATTGGTCCACCCGCCTGTTTTGGTACCAGTACCATGCTGTTTTTGTTACTATTGCTCTGTAGTATAGTTTGAAGTCTGGTATCGCTATACCGCCTGATTCACACTTCCTGCTTAGCATTGTTTTTGCTATTCTAGGTCTTTTATTTTTCCATATGAATTTCATGATTGCTTTCTCTATTTCTACAAGAAATGCCTTTGGGATTTTGATTGGCATTGCATTAAACCTATAGAGAACTTTTGGTAATATCGCCATTTTGATGATGTTAGTTCTGCCTATCCATGAACAGGGTATATTTTTCCATCTTCTAAGATCTTCTTCTATTTCTCTCTTTAGGGTTCTGTAGTTTTCATTGTATAAGTCTTTCACCTCTTTTGTTAGGTTGATTCCCAAGTATTTTATTTTTTTTGAAGATATTTTGAATGGAGTGGTTGTCCTCATTTCCATTTCAGAGGATTTGTCGCTGATATACAGGAATGCCTTTGATTTATGCGTGTTGATTTTATATCCTGCCACTTTGCTGAATTCATTTATTAGCTCTAATAGTTTCTTTGTAGACCCTTTTGGGTCTGCTAGGTATAGAATCATATCATCTGCAAATAGTGATAATTTAAGTTCTTCTTTTCCTATTTTTATGCCTTTAATTTCTTTCTTCTGTCTAATTGCTCTGGCCAGTGTTTCGAGAACTATGTTGAACAGAAGTGGTGAGAGAGGGCATCCCTGTCTTGTTCCAGATTTTAGAGGGAATGCCTTCAATTTTTCTCCATTCAGAATGATGCTAGCCTGAGGCTTAGCATAGATTGCTTTTACAATATTGAGGTATGTTCCTGTTATCCCTAGTTTTTCTAGAGTTTTGAACATAAAGGGATGCTGTACTTTGTCGAATGCTTTTTCCGCATCTATCGAGATGATCATATGGTTCTTATTCTTAAGTCTATTGATGTGGTGAATAACATTTATTGATTTCCGTATATTGAACCAGCCTTGCATCCCAGGGATGAATCCTACTTGATCATGGTGCACAATTTTTTTGATATGTTTTTGTATCCGATTCGCCAGAATTTTATTGAGGATTTTTGCATCTAGGTTCATTAGAGATATTGGTCTGAAGTTTTCTTTCTTTGAAGTGTCTTTGTCTGGTTTAGGTATCAGGGTGATGTTGGCCTCGTAGAATGAATTTGGAAGTTCTCCCTCTTTTTCTATTTCCTGAAGTAGCTTGAAAAGTATTGGTATTAGTTCCTCTTTAAAGGTTTTGTAAAATTCTGCTGTATACCCATCGGGTCCTGGGCTTTTCTTAGTTGGTAGTCTTTTGATGGTTTCTTCTATTTCCTCAATTGATATTGGTCTGTTTAGGTTGTCTATATCCTCCTGACTCAATCTGGGCAGACCATATGACTTCAGAAATTTATCTATGCCTTCACTATCTTCTAATTTATTGGAGTATAAGGATTCAAAATAATTTTTGATTATCTTCTGTATTTCTGAAGTGTCTGTTGTGATATTGCCTTTTTCATCCCGTATGCTAGTAATTTGAGTTCTCTCTCTTCTTCTCTTCGCTAGCATCGCTAAGGGTCTGTCGATTTTGTTTATTTTTTCAAAGAACCAACTTTTAGTTTTGTCAATTTTTTCAATTGTTTCTTTTGTTTCGATTTCATTAATTTCAGCTCTGATTTTAATTATTTCTTGCCTTCTACTTCTTTTGCTGTTGTTTTGCTCTTCTTTTTCTAGGATTTTGAGATGAAGCATGAGATCATTTATTTGTTGGTTTTTTCTTTTTTTAAGGAATGAACTCCAAGCAATGAATTTTCCTCTTAGAACTGCTTTCAATGTGTCCCATAGATTCCGATATGTTGTGTCTGTGTTTTCATTAATCTCTAAGAATTTTTTAATTTCCTCCTTGATGTCTTCTATAACCCATTGATCATTCAGTAACCTATTGTTCATTCTCCAAGTGATGTATGCTTTTTCCTTCCTTCTTTTATCGTTGATTTTCAGTTTCATTCCATTATGGTCAGATAAGATGCATGGTATTATCTCTACTCCTTTATATTGTCTAAGAGTTGCCCTGTGACATAATATATGATCTATTTTTGAGAAGGATCCATGTGCTGCTGAGAAAAAAGTGTAACTGCTTGATGTTGGGTGGTATATTCTATATATGTCAATTAAGTCTAGGTTATTAATAGTGTTATTGAGTTCTATAGTTTCCTTATTCAACTTTTGTTTGGAAGATCTGTCCAGTGGCGAGAGAGGTGTGTTGAAGTCTCCCATGATTATTGTATGGTGGTCTATTAGACTCTTGAACTTGAGAAGAGTTTGTTTGATGAACATAGCTGCGCCATTGTTTGGGGCATATATATTTATGATTGTTATGTCTTGTTGGTGTATGGTTCCCTTAAGCAGTATGTAGTGTCCCTCTTTATCCCTTTTGATTAACTTTGGCTTGAAATCTATTTTATTTGATATGAGTATGGACACTCCTGCTTTTTTCCGAAGTCCATATGAGTGATATGATTTTTCCCAACCTTTCACCTTCAGCCTATGTATGTCTTTTCCTATCAAATGCGTCTCCTGTAGGCAGCATATTGTTGGGTCTTGTTTTGAGATCCATTCTACTAGCCTGTGTCTCTTAATTGGTGAGTTTAAGCCATTAACATTTAGGGTTATTATTGAGATATGGGTTGTTGTTCCAGCCATATTTGTTTATTTATGTTACTAAACATGGTTTGTTTTCCTCTTTGATTATTCCCCCCCCTTTACTGTCCTACCTCCCACTGTTGGTTTTCATTGTTATTTTCCATTTCCTCTTCCTGTAATGTTTTGCTGAGGATGTTTTGAAGAGATGGTTTTCTAGCTGCATATTCTTTTAACTTTTGTTTGTCGTGGAAGGTTTTAATTTCATCTTCCATCCTGAAGCTTAATTTCGCTGGATACACAATTCTTGGTTGGAACCCATTTTCTTTCAGTGTTTGAAATATGTTATTCCAGGATCTTCTAGCTTTCAGAGTCTGTGTTGAAAGATCAGCTGTTATCCTGATTGGCTTGCCCCTAAATGTAATCTGCTTCCTTTCTCTTGTAGCTTTTAAAATTCTCTCCTTATTCTGTATGTTGGGCATCTTCATTATAATGTGTCTAGGTGTGGATCTCTTATAATTTTGCACATTCGGCGTCCTGTAGGCTTCTAGAATTTGGGATTCTGTCTCATTCTTCAAGTCTGGGAAG